GATTTGAGCAAATGGGTTGCAACCGAATTGAGATGTCTGGTTAGAACGAAATGCGTGCCAGGAGGTGCGGTTACTTCACAGATTTCGCAGATTGACCCAATTCGGATTTCACACAAAGACATCTTTTTCGTTCACCCCTATGACAGGGAAGCCACAGGACAGACAGCATTACTGCAAGTACATTCCCCTAGCATCGTGGTGATTGACAGATGATTTCAAAGGAAACCCAACACTCACTGATATCCAACGAATTGGTTTGGTCACGTTCCATCTGAAACTATGAGATGATAAGATGATAAGATAACCAAGTGAGTGGTTACCTCAATAAATGCCTTTATGAGGACAACGACAAGGCAAACGAAGGGAAATCATGCGCCGTCATATTGAAGAAATTTCGATCAGGGTCAGAACGCCAATGTTTCAAACGAGCTGATTTGTTGGCTGGAATAACTATGTACCATCCAAACAGAACATCATTACTGGATGAGTATTGTACCAGCTCTGGGCTGATACTTCGTCCGAGTTTGATTCACTGGAGTCATTCATTGAGCACATCATAATGCAGTTTTCCGTGATTCACAGGCTTACTTCATACTTGCGCAGTTTTCGGACAAAATCATTGAGTGGAATTTCTATGAAGTTAAAGATTTTGCCACGGGGACTTGACGAAAAAGTATCTTGCAAGCGCTCGCGTTCTGATTAAGGAAAGAGTCGTCCAAAACACAATGGGCATGTTTGGCTTATGCGAGGACTCTTGAAGATATGGCAGCAAACTGTAGGGTTGATATTCGAATTGACGATCTACTGCCGACTGATAACCATCGCTTTCAATAAATGGGAACAATGTAAGAATAAGTTCCTCACAGATGTACACAATAATGATGAGAATTACATGTTCCTACAGAAGTGGTAAGAGAGTACAGCCAGCTCCGATGCAACCTGCTTAAGAGGAGAGGTAGAAGCGCTCGGCATAGTCATGGTGGCCAGACGATCTTATGTCGTGGAAACTGTGGCCAACCGGAGAGTTTGGTGCATATTTTGCAATCCTGCTGGATCACGCATGATGCTAGATGTGCTGGTCATAATCGGGTTGCAAAGGAACTTGCAAAACGTCTCCGTCGACTGGGGTACACCATCCTCGAGGAGTTGAGAGCCCCTACTTCTACGTCGTTCATCAAACCTGACCTAATCGCTGTTCGAGATCGCCGTGCAACTGTAGTAGACGTCAGCATAGTCTCGGATGGGCGTGGAGTGATAGTGTGGAATGAGAAGAAGCAGAAGTATGGTGCTGATGAACATTCCCTCGCCATAATCTCAGCCCTACATGCCATCGGTTCACCAACCGATGATCATCTCTTATCGAGGGATCTGCTTTCCTCAATCCGCTAAGGCTGTTATTGGACTGGGACTTCCTAAGGTCACAGTCAGTGACTTGTGTTTGCTTGCCATTGTGGGCTCCCTGCGTACTTATGACACTTTTATGCGTGGTACATGGCGTTGAAGGTACATTTTTGCCATTTAATCTCACACCAGACCCAGTATGACGGTCACTTTGTGCCTGATGTGCGAGTCTTGACTGTGCTAGCGCACACTGCGCCTTGAAGAGCATTCACCATTGTTTGTCCTTTCTTTGGTTGTTGGTCCTTAGACGCGTGTTCCCATACCAAAATCTTTACATGCTTTGGGATTCACCTCATCAGACTGGCACTGCCCTTGGCATGATCTCGAATGAGACGTTTCTCTCTTTTCTCCCATATTGTCCTGTTACTCTTTCGCATTCATCGCTTGCACTCACTTTTTATGTTTGTGATCATGCTCTTCAAAAATAAAAAATAAATGATAATAGGATCTATGGAGTCTATCACAGGAAAACTGACTTTTTGCTCGACGTACAGTATTTAAAATTCAGCTACCACCATCATAACCAAACATGAGAAGTGGTTTGTAATTATCTTATCGCCATAGTGAGAACCCCATTCACTGACAGCTGTCACAGTCTTGTCTAAACGGATAATCTCTAACTTCAAATTACCATCCATTGAGATGGTGAGCATGCCCTTCGGATGATTTAACCCTCCATTCCAACTAGGTCTACTGTTGGCACTCTCGTTGTGTACCTTAATTGCATTTCCTCTTAGTAGTGTGTAATCGAAGCCAAATACCGACTGTGATGGAATAGGGCGATCACGTGGAGCAATCTGTTTCGGTGATCATGTGACAACTGCACGATGCTAATTCGCCTTATTCCTAGACGTAGCAGTTCGCGAGGTACGTATCGCCACAATGCACGCGACCTTGAAACATATTTAACTTAACTTGGCGGACGATCCATCCATGCGAAAAGTCAGTTAACTATATGTACACTTGTCAGGAATTATTGCAAGTGCACAGCAACATGGATTGAATCGGGATCTGGTTTGGCGTGTTCTAAAACCAAAGTTTAGAAATACACAGTGCCTGGTGTTACAATGTCGAGATATTATACAATCAAGGCGGTTTATGTTGACAAAAGATCCAACCATGCAAATCACCTCCAACTGTACACAATTATTTGTGCTCACTGTGTTCAGTTTTTAAGTGAATAGTGCAAGTTATTGCGGGGGATTTGCGATAACGTAGCCCACAAGTTTTTCTTGTATGCAACTCTAAAGTGTTCTTAATGTGAACCTAGAATGATTACAGTTAGCTCTTCAAAGAAAGCTGTCTTCTTCAGACTGAGGAAAACTATTACCAAGTATGCACGCTTGTGTAGGAATGTCCAATGCATTAAAATGGCATCGGGGCTGTTTTGCTTCATCAGCTCCCTAGGAGTCATATAAACCCGTGATGTAGGTCTCACGTGCGTCTTCTGTATAAATTCAGATGGCTGTAAAATACAATAGACAGTTAAGGTTGTTGGAAAACTCCGGGATTGCACCTCATCTTGAAGTATCGTAATGATGGATGACCTTTTACAGTTCTAATGAGCTGTTCAGAAGGAAAAAGTTTACACCGACGGTTATTGGTGGGTGTACGATACCCTAAGATCGGGCGATCGTACCCAAAACATTGCACGACAAATTCCTGAAACAGGTGCCTGATCGGGCATTCAGGACATTCAGGAAGCAGCCGAAAAAAAATCTGGTTCTCACAGTCTCACCCATTGACCACTCGTGGAGCAAGACAGAATAACTTGTTCGTAGATGCCACCGATGCACCAATACCTGTTAGTTACCCATTAATTTTGAACTGCGACCTTAACCAGATCCATAGAGCTCCCGCTTTCACATACAAACTGAACTTTCATAGACCATTGACGGGACCGTTTACATCGTTCTTGCCGACGCCTATACCACGTCACCATACATAGGTACAATGAGCACATTTTTAACTATGATGACCTCTTGGTGCCTAAAAAGGTTGTTTTTGCAGTGAAATTGTCAGTAAAAGAGTCCTCAGTCGACTACGTTGAAATCCTTTGAGTTTGGCACATACCTCGAAATGAGGTATGTCACCGCAAGCAGTCATCATCAGCTGTGAAACCGCATACTTGCTGTACAGCGGTTCTAGGTGCCACAGTTTCATTCACTGATGATTCGGAGAGGTTGGGTAGATATCTGCGCGTTAGAGGCAGCAGGTGACCTAATTGATGCGTAAATACATAGGTTCCCATGGACTTTTAATTGGGGTGAGCGATAGAGATCAGTTCATTGGAGGTGACAGCCTGAATTCATAAGTTTCACTGAGGCTATGAATAGGCGATATTCGAAACTGTGTCTGACTACTAGTGTGTCGCGTCTCGGGGTGACCATCTCAGAAGACAATGATCAGTCAAAAGTACGGGCATACCGGTTCCTAAATATATTCAAGCAAGCGCTGTGAAAAATTTATAGTGAAAAGGACCCAAATCACTTTCTCGACAAAGTTTTACACATTGCCACTCAACACCAGACGTGACAGTTTCACATGTATGCGTTTCCTGGTCTTTGAACAGAAGCAACGCCAGAGGCCATGCTTCTAAGTTCGATTGAGAGAGCGCAACAAAAGCTTGGCAGTTCAGTTCAGCCAGTATAACGGAGGGCAGCAACGGGTGTTTCAACCTGGTTTCCCAGTACCTGGTTGGTTTTCAATCTCGCAAACGAAGCAGTGCCCTAGGTATTCGAACCCACCACCTGGGAGATGTATTAGACAAACTTAATGCTGGAAAGTACGGTCGAAAACGTCACGTAGATCACACTAGACCATGGTACGAGAATACCTCTATCAGTGCCTCCGAAAATCTTCGCTTTTCACTTGGTGTTCTTCTGGATATGTTCCAACTAACCAAAGAAACTGAAACTGAGTACGGTAGTTGGTGAAACTAGACACACCAGACTGATTTTCCGAGTTGTGTTGCGTTCGCGGCCTCATCGGTCAGAAAACTTTGCATCCCATCACCGGTTACAATCAATTTGAAGCATAGTGTTAATTGCAAACAGTATCTCATGAGTATTACTACGAACCAGCAGACTGAGGGATTACAAATATAGACGGAGTAGTCATTGGAGCATACAACTTGGGGAATTGCACCTGCGTCTCCATGCTTCATGTTCCATGCGTAAACAAAGAATGTGGTGGGAGACGAGCTAAATCCCTAAACTCTAGATAGAAAATCTGGCCTTTAAATATGGAATTTATTCGTTCCTACCTAGGACAGTTCTCTAGATGAAAGAAGTGAAATTACATTGTCGATAAAAGCAATGTCATCATCTTCGCTCTACATTCACCTGGGAATGGTTATCAAGAAAGTTACAAGGTAATGAGCAGGAAAAGCTGTAGTTTAATCTACACACACTAGCTCCCTAAAACGCACTGGACACTAAAAACCGTCAACTTAATAATAACTAGGAGAGTGCTTTCATGCAACCTAAACTTCTGTCGGTCTGATAGCTTACAGAGATCATGATTACTGATATTGCCCCGCTCGATTATTTCACCAGCAGGAAACAGCGCAGAGATGGCGTTTAATGAGATACACTCACCCTGAGATTACAAAAACGTTGCCAACAGTCACCGAAAATCCACAACGCAGTACAATCAACTGAAACCTAACGAGTTATATAACGTATTTCGTACGGTCTTGTCTTCCACTGATGAGATAAGAGCCAATCAGCTAACCGATTACTTCCGAAAAGATCGACTAACACACACAGTCATACTTTATTGCACATCCGATCACTTGTCACACGAACTTCGCACAGACTGTGAATGTGTGTGAATGAAAGGTCAGGAGTCGTTTGGTTGAGTCAGCTTATACAACGAACGACCTATCACCCGACGGTTCATGTACGGTAACTCAAGGACAAGGGCCTCAGTTCACTCGGAAGATATCGTTAGTTTTAGGATGAATACTAGGACCCTGGAACACTTGAAACGTGTTAGACAGTGACCAGGGCTTAACAGTTGCACGCTTCTTTCCTCTCAAGACCTTCAATCTTAATGGTATAGCCTTAGTTTTTCTTCCAAATTTCCATCAAACGATTGTTAGCGGAGAAGTGTTATAACAAGTACAGTGGCTTTCGCGACTACATTATAGTGTTTTCCAACTGTGAGCTAGCTAATTATCATAATTAGGGTTTGAAAAGATAACTTCATGAAAATATCCCCCGCATGACACAAAATGGGTGCTTGTTCGCAAACAACTCAAGCACAAATAAGCCGATTGCCACCAGTAAGATAAACAGGAAGCGAACGGAGCTAATCAAGCCACCCACAAGCGAACAACTCTGGTAGATGAAAAATCCCCTGGAAGGATATGGGAATGTTGGCAAAAAAAGAAGGAAAAGGAAAGCCAAGTAAAATAAGGCCGCATTGAATTCACTTTGCCGGAGCGATTAATCATTCCGTTTGAATGATGAGTCGTTGAAAAATTATTTTCAGTAGCTTGATTCTGTGACTAGACTTACTTGTAACTCCTATTCGACTAAATGAGGGTCCATTTTGTCGTTTCACTGAAAAGGGTTATCACTAGTTTTGTATAGACACCTCTAGCGCACTGACGATCATCACGGCCTGAGCGAATGGTCACAAGCTATACCAGCAACAAGCAACTCCGATTACACGCGCAGATCTCTCAAAGGAAGTCATAGAGATTGACAGAAAGCGCTGTGGTTCACACGGTTCCGTATGCACTTTGCACCCGCAAATTTTAAAGCGTTACTGCAGAACTGAGTGAGAATAAACCGAAACCTCTTGCTTGTGAACGAACTGATCGATCTGGTCGATAATTTCATCTAAGTGGGCTGCTGCATAAGTTCCTGTGGACCGGTGAAAGACTAGTGAAAGCACTTCCCTCATTGGGAAAGCCAGGACAGCGTTGGCTGAACGTTCGGCATTAACATATCAGTTTGACTGTCAAGGTTGGAGTGCGCAATTTTGCGGTGCGATATGCCCTACTTTATGACTCACAGACGTGATGGCTGCGTGTTAAAGACCTTCGAGTGCTATCAGTGTCTGACCACCAGTGTATCCGGGACACCGTGTGATCTGGTGAGAACATTGGGGAAGTACTCCGGCTGGTGTTCGGGCAAGTTCACTCCCACTTAACAGATCAGCTGGCTACATTCCACAGGTCATGCTGCTTGGGTCAAGTATTTAATATGACTTCTATAGCCCAGTTCGCCCAGCCTTGTGTCGGATGTGGACTACCGGAGGGCGCTCGTTCCTCGGCTTCACAACTAAGTATGAAGGCCCTTACCAGTCAAACCAGTAGCGCTAGTAACTGCTTTCTTTCCGGATGGGAACGGCGGGATGAGGCAAACCAATGCTCGGTGCTTCTGACACATGCGGGTGTGTCACGCAGTGGCGTTGTTTAACTCGCATTCACTGCGTAGCATTCATTCTATGCGCCATTTTCTGAAACGAGTGACTCTCATTTCCTTGTCCTCCATGTGATTGGCGAACGAAGCTGTAGCAGCTAGAACTAGCGTACTTCGGTTCACTGTTTATGAGCTCAGTAGCTTAAACAAGTTTACAAACCTTAAAATCCGATCTTCTTGGCTGGCTTTATTGTTGGCAATAGGAAACAATCAGGAAAACACTCTGCTGTTGTTTTCACGCTGTATTTCGTCCGTGTTGACGTTTCCCGTCCGTCAGAAGCGAGAATCAAGTACACAAATACTGCGACTGAATAGACTGTCCCGCCTCTCTCTTCCTGTTTCCCGGCAAACTCTGGTGGCACAAAGCCGCTGAGACTAGAATTACCGGGTTGTGAATTGTCGATCTATCGAGAAGAGGCGTCTCCATTTAACTGGATATCTGTTGGTAATCAACTGTTCGTGCGAAAGAACCCTGAGAAAGTACCATGGCCTCAATGGATTACAAATCCAGATCTGCAGAAAACAGTTTTTGCAAACCTCTGGATATCCTTTTAGAGGACTGAAAGTTCTGGTACAATTGTGGTTGCTGGTGATATGAGCGCTCAGTTACGTGGGCATAGCGCTGTTAAGGCTCGTTTGGATGAGCATCTTGGATTGGGTATGAGACTTATCTGGTAACAAATTTTTTCTTTGGGTAATCTTGCAACATGACCAGTAAATACAATCACCTATTTGCGATGGTTGTATCGAAGGTCATACTGTTACTAGTCATAAAAATAAGGTAAATGGCACTAAACTTGAAGCCTTTTGAGTTTTTCTATGTAAACTTAGGGCCAAGATACTCAGTTGGGACCCGCTGCACTTCCTGCTTGCTTCTAGAAATTTATATAAATCTGCCCGAATTTTCTGCAAAAGAATTCTCTAGCCTTTCATTGAGTTTCTCAGGATATCAGAATTAGCCATTTCAAAACAGGTCTAGTCAGTCTTTGAAGAGTAATTCCCTATGCCTTTCAAACTACCCTCGGCTCATCTGATGAGTGGAGAACAATTCAGTTGCCTGATATGTGGGTTCAAAGCAGAAATTCCTAACTCTAAAAGCAAGCAGTTGTCAGTCTTGGTACCTGGGACTGGCTTGATTTTAGACCATGTGGCACAATTCATGAGGATTTCGACTACTTCATCATGATATTTACGGAGAATCGAGTAATCATCAGTCTTAGCAGCAAATATAACGCTGTATTAAGAATATCAACGAAGTTTGACATAGGAGCTTAAGGGAAATAAACTTGAGCTGAAAAGTACTGAAAATCAATAAGGTTGCTGATGCATTCTTCACAGTTGCAACTTCTTGGAAGCAGGTTAAGCTATGTTGGTTTATCCGATTTAATTTGGTTTAGTAAACAAAACTGATCACCAAAACGTAGGATTGAAAGCCATTCACCATTGACGGGAGTGTATTGGGTTCTCTATTTAATCTGACGGCAATTTTAGCAGATAGGCTTAAAGTTGCATTATTCCAAATATCTTCGTAACGGTCCTTATGGTCTGCGCAGCACACATATCTATATGAAGAAACAACATATAACTCATGTGATTGTCACATGGACATCAAGGTCACGAAATGTGCTCGCATCACTTGAGAATAGTATTTCTGCTTTGATGAACTGAAAAGCGGCCAGAATTTTGCGATGCGAGAAAGATAGTAGCTTTCATGTGGAGTAACTGGCATAAGCCAGAAAGGAACAGGTGTACGAACTGGTGCCTAAATTGTCATTCAATCCAGGCTGAGCTTCAAATTTGCCTTTAGTTTATCAGGTCGGCTTTGCTCTAGAGTTGTTGGTCTTATTCTAACGTTTGCCAGCTCTAAGCCTGCATCTGGTTTATTTTTGTCATCATTTTACATGAAAAATACAATAAGTCATCAATGAGCAGTGCCCTTGGGATTGCTCTTTAAATCCCATTTAGTAAATCTGCATGATGCAAAGTCACTCAGGAGACATTTTTCACCAGCCATCCAAAAAAATTAGGATCTCAAAAACATGCAGAACAATTTGTTGTAAATCCCGGAAGAACGATACGTTAGCAAGTCTTCTCGAAAAAATGGAGTTTCATTGATTTTCCTTATTATTCACTAACAAGATTTTTCGCGGTATTGTTCAAGGTATTGTTCGCGGCATTGTCCCATTAAACTCGCAGACAACTTTTGCACCACAAAACTAGTTAAAAGCAACGAAAGGCTCGTAATAGCCAGCTATGAATCTCCTCCACCCAAAAATGAATGACCGCGCTATCTTCAAACGTTTTGGCAGATCTAGTGAAAGTTCTTAGTTTTTACCAAACTAAGCATTGTACCAAGGCCTTGAATGGCCTCCATATTCAGCATACCGGGGTCGAGCTGACCTACCCCTACTCTCTCAAAACCGCAAATAATGAATAATCACCGATGCTTGAAATTGAGTCAACTAAAATGGTCACTCGTCATGCATTGACCGGTTTTAATTGTTAAACAGCGAGTGCCTATATGAATTGAAAGCCTCTGATGAGGAGTGCGCTTCGTGCCAAGTGCAACTGAAGAGAGTAGGGTAGCTTATTTTGCTCTATCAAACAAGGATGGCTCCGAGCGACAAAACAAATCTGTACTTCTTAAGTGAAACAGCGATGTAATCGTAAACATCGGTAAACAGATGTCCTGAAAACCAAACAAGCCTGATTTGTGACTTTTACTTTTAAAGCCGGGCAGAGCTCTGCTGGTTGTTACAGAGACCGGACATATAAAGCATCGTGGAAAGCTAACGGCTTTCTATCTACCCCCTGATATTGGATGAAAGTGTTCTTAGCAGTGATATTTGTGTAGTTTATGATTGCGTATGCTGACTTGAAACCCGAACAAGAGGACGATTAAAGCCGTCTGGGTAGGTCTTAATCTTGAAGGCATCAAGGCAATATAACAGCGGTTTTCGTAAAAGTTGGTATACTCGCTCCATTCCAGAAACTAGATGACCAGAAAATAGCTTTGGCATCTATTTATTCAGTTCGTTGTGGCGGCTCAGGATCTTAGAGAATGTCCGTAACCTATCTGCCTCTAGAAGTAAGTTTCACGTGCGAAACTATATATCAGACTAACACAAAGCTTTGATAAACCTTTGACAAAGCTTTTAATACAGGGATTCAGCGGGCCTTACCGAAGGTGGTCGCTGCGGTG